CCCCCACAGAGGCGGGCGGCAGAGAGTGGCTCACAGAAGACAGGGCTGGCACACGGGGCCCACCTCAGCAGTACAGGAGACCTTCGAACCCCACAGTTCCTCAGGTACAACAGACGCCATGATTTTAATTATTCACACCACACAGTGCACCGGCATTGACGGAAGCACTTTCCAGACACCAGTTGGTTCCAGCCTGTGACCCCCATGGGAAGGGAGGACAGGGAGAGTAAGGAATGGCCAGGGTCACAGAGCCAGGGACGGGTCCCACCTTCAGGCGCAGCACCTGTGGCCCATGTGCTTGTTTTCTTTGGTCACTTTTCCCAGTAGTTTACTTCTGGAGGCGTAATTTCTATCCCACCCCACCCGCCCGAGTGACTCTGGTAAATCTGACACCGGGTGACGCCTAACACCTCAGGAGAGGTTCTCTGCCCATTCGCAGTCCCTGTGGCCCCAGCACCACCCTGCAGCACCTCCACCCCTTTCTGCCTGCAGGTTTGCCTGGTATTTCAGGGAAGCAGACTCACGTGACTCGGATCCGTACCGTCCAGCTTCTTTCACTTCCTGCGACGTTTCTGAGGGCGACCCACGTTGTAGGAGGCATCAGCCTTTCGCTCCTATTCATGGCCAAGTAATCCTGCTGCGCGCCTGTACCCATTTTTTTTCTGGGCTCACCAGTGATGGACCCCGGCTGCAATGACCGCACAGTGACATCGCCTGTGCGTATGCCTGTGTGGACACAGTATTTCCCTTGCTCTTTGCACACCTCGGTGGGATTGCGAGTAGAATTGCTGTGCCTGTAAATTTCCGCCCAAATGCTTGTAACTATCGAACGTCTTTCCAAGTTGCTGCACCGTGTTCTGCCTCCACGCAGGGACCTGGGTCCGGGAAGCCTGGGTGTGATCATCCTCAGGCCAGGGGACCTTGTGGGAGAGCAGTGAGGCCGTCACGGGTGGCTAGAGATCAGCGGCCCCTGGGTGGCTTCTGATGTCCGGGAAACAGGTGGAGCAGAAGCTCAGTGTTCACTCCCCGTCCGAACACACTGTCCCAGGATGGGGTGGGGGGGCACGAGAGGCGGCAGCACAGGCGTCGTGACGCCACTCCTGCGGCTTGGCGGGGGTACAGGACACGGGGGTCCTTGCTCCAGAAGCCAGAGCTGCCCACCAGTGTGGCTTCGAGCCCAGAGGCCCAGTGAAGATGACAGGGAGCTGACTGCCCAGGAAAGGGCAACCCTCGCAAGGCCTCCCTGAGTGTACTGTCTCTGGAAGGCAGCTGCCCGCTGTCAGCTGACAGCCCCAGCTGCACTGATGCTCCAGTGGGGCCCTAGGCCCTGAGGACAGGACCCAAACTCAGGGCTCAGCACGGGGCCTGGCATAACAGCTCTGCAGATCAGAAGGGGATGCTCCTGCCTCAGCCTACTTCCAAACACCACATGCACATCCACCTGGAACCGCTGAGGGCGGTCTTATTTGGATGAGACACTAGATTAGGGTGGGCACCAACCCATGGTGGGCGGTCTAACCAGCGGGAGATCTGGACACACACAGAGACCTGGAGGAGGCCACTGTGAAGACAGGCACACAGGGAGTTTGTCACATGAAGACCGGAACCCAGGAAGGCACCAGAAGGGACTCTTCCTTGGAGACTTCAAGGCCACAGCCCCCTGAACACCTTGCTTTCAGATGCTCACCTCCAGGACATGAAGGAACCCATGCCGGTGCTGAGAGACACTTTCCCAGAACACTTTGGGACCACAAGCTGGGCTCAGCCTGCAGGCAGCAGACAAGGGGCTGAGAGGTAGGTGAGGCTCACGCCTGATGTTTGCACAGATCTGGGGAGCAGAAGGGAATTGGGCCAGCGTGTC